GTCTGAAAAACGGCACAAACTTTCGGACCCACCTAATACATGAGGTGCAGCCATGCTGCAAGTTTTTCTGTCTTTGACACCAGCTTAGATGGGCTCTTCGAAATCCCCCGTCCCTTCTAGGTTTTTCTTGGATTTTTGATGAGCTTGCGCCAAATTATGTATGAATGTTCTACTGACAAATTGGGGTACAGGGTTCTCTATAAATTAACCTTCTCCGCCATCCTCATAATCCAACTCATCAAAAAGCTTAAAGACAAGAAGAGCGTTGCAGCTTCACCTTCAAATAGTGCCTTTACAGGTTGTGCAGGAATACGAACGAGCGGTTATATTTCGTCTGGGACGACTTATGCCCGGTGGAGCAAAGGGGCCCGGTAAGTCCAAAGGTAGGGGCCTACTATGCAAGAACTTTGAATTGCAGGAATATTCTTTATTGTTCCATGTATTGACACATATAGAAAGGTGGATTTACGAGTTCTTTCATTTGAAGTACCCCCTCAAGAGGTATATTGAATACTGTCTGTATCACTCGTAAAGAGATCGTTCATTTTAGATATTGTCCAAAGATTCAGTCACTGTAGCTGTAGACGCAGTCGTATACTTCCGGATATCAAATGCAACCATATCGGTCAGTGCCGTTGAAGAATTGTTTTTATTTGGAAGTTCCTCAGTAGTCCCCAATTCAAGGTGACAAACGTAGAGGATGCAGCGCGTTCGACAAAATTGCTAGCACAAACCACGCTGAGAAATATTCTAGGAACGAAAACATTAGCCGAGATGCTTTCCGATCGCGAAGCGATTTCACACCAAATGCAGGTATAATTCAAGTCTATTCAACTAAACCATAATAATATTTATGTGCAGACAACGCTAGATGAAGCAACGGAGCCCTGGGGGGTGAAAGTTGAACGGGTAGAAGTCAAAGACGTTCGCCTGCCTGTGCAGCTGCAGAGAGCTATGGCTGCAGAAGCTGAAGCTGCGCGAGAAGCAAGAGCCAAGGTCAGTCATGCAGTGATGAGCTAATTGGGAGTAGGCCGATTATGTGAAGTGATAAGTCCTGTACAATGTATTGTGGCGTTGGCGCTACTGTGCTATTGTTGGTGCGTGAAAGGAGATGCCGTCGATTGGCTACACTCCTGAGTGAGTGGATACTCGAGAGTGAGTAGCTCACCATTTGGCCTACGGCTATTCCCTAGGCGATATAGAATATGGATTGCAATGGTTGA